GTCATCATGTACCATCACAATCTGGAGGCTGGAGCTTCCTCAGATATGTTCCTGCCTTTGTGACTAAAACAGCTTGGCTCATCCCCTAGCTTACAGAACAAGCGCTCTTCTCTAGAGCTCTCTAAGCTATTACTTCCAGAAGAATTATTCCCTAGTCATCATCTTTGGGGTCCTTTCTAGGTGAAGTGCGTGCATTGCTTTCTAAAATATGCTCTTCTAAATTTCGTCCAGGTAGGAGGGCAGAGAGATACATCATGCTGTTTTGTTGGACATTTGAGGATTCAAGATTCATGTACACATATCTGTTAGACAAAAATATGTAGAAAATAAAGGACAACTATGAAAAATAGTCATGAAAGCTATTTAAAGACAACAGAAACTCCCGTTTCGTTAAAAACATTTTCAAAAGGCCCGAACAAAAATAGCTCTTCTCCAGTGAGGTTCACAAACTGGGAACCCGCAACTCTTTAAGATGCCCAGATGCAGCTCCCTGGGAACCGTTGCTTGGCACAGCATTAGTCCAGAAGTTCATTTTCGTTTTTGAATTTAATTGGTCGCCAACATTAAAAAATGTTAAGGGTTCACATAAGAATTTAAATTTCTGGACCCTCTTGAGTGAGTCACTGATGGGTCCACATTTCCACGCAGCTGGGAGGCAGGTGACATTCTCTTTGGGCATCACATATGCTTTCGAGTCCAAGTGGGAGTTGGCTTTCCCACAGGTTCCTTCTTGTCTTCATGTCAAACAACAGTTGCCATTTATCCTCAGTCTCATGCTATTGCCGCTTAGAGTAGAGCTGTAGATGGTAGAATATCTAGTATATATTTTCCAACCCAAAGTAGGAAAATGCAAGGAGGAATGTGTTTTATTAAGAGTAGGAGACATATATTTTTGTAGAGATGAAAAGCATTCCTACTAGAAAGTGCACAAGCTAAGGATGCCTATTGTCATACAACCTGAATGACCATTCTGAAATATACCTGTTCTCTGTCCTTCACTCACGGTACCCACTGTTGCTTCAGGCATCTCTTCTTTATCAACAAGTGGAGGCCATGATGATCTCATTTTCTCTACTTTTTTAATTTCATCTCAGACCAGGCAAGATGGCAGTAATGCCCAGGACTTGAAAACAGTGTCTCTTTGGTGTTATATTCCAGGTTAGCACTTCAATTTTCTTTGGAGGAAGCTGGAAGTTCAGAACTGTTATATATCTACTACATTTCCATTGATTTCTATTCCAGAAACCACTGATACTTAAAGTAGATCCCAAGGCAGCTTTTCCTTTTAGTTTCTGAGCAGTGATATTCTAATGCTCTGCAGGCTGCTTGAAGAGAGTAAACAAATCTGGATCATCTCTCTCACACCAAGCCTCCCTATCATGTGGAGAGGCTTGGTGAAATAATGTAAGTAGAAACTGTTACAGGAGGCACAGCCAGCTTTCTTCTATCTTCACTTAGCATAGTATTTAGTAAAATAGCACATTGCCCGTATTTAATATGTTTATTAAGACACTGAAATGAGTCTAGGAAGGTAATGGAGTTACTGCCTATGGAAATAATTCATAGTGTAAATATTCAACATATTACACTGGGGTATGGGATACAATAATAATTTCTGGCTATTTTGGTATTAAAAAGGAATGCTCAAAGTGCATCAAAATTAAATATAAATGTACCATTGTCACTCCCCTATAAACTTAAGTGAATCCCAAAGGTGATCTTCCAACGCTAACAGACTATCTCATATTTCCAGTTGAGCTAAGGACAGTCATTTATCTCCTGAATTTTAATATTTATTGGTGTCTGATAAGGTTTTTAGATGTCAGGAACCTCTCTATATATCTACACCATTTTTAGGCAACAGAGATTTGAGGAGAAGCTGTTGATGTCTGACTTCCAAGTTTGTTACATGAGTACCTGCAACCCAAGAGATTCTCAATAAGGTGAACATTGAATGAGCACATTAGCACATCCATATAGAGGTAAACATGTCTCCTCTCCCTCTTTGTCCAAGCAAAAATATCTTGTTTGTTTGTTTGTTTATTTCTCAATGTCAGAGATCATTTGGCTATAACACAGAAACACATTCATGCAAAAGTCTTTCTTTTCTCCAAAGACTACATATTAGAAAAGGTTAGGCAGCTTTCAAGTGCCTAGACTAGAAGGCTGACACTTTCAAGTGTACTTGGTTAAAACTCAAAATTCCAAGTTACTTGTGCGTCTCTGCTGACACAATTCCAACATTACCGAGGTGATAACATATACAAAAGAGATCTGTAAAATTCAACTTTATGATAGACATTTAAGGAATAAGTGAGAGAGACAGGAGGCCTTTAACTGTGAAAAGCATGTTCACTTTTTCAAAAGCTCTGACAGAATGTTCCCTGCCCAGTGGGAGATGGCTAGACCTGGGACTACTCAGGGAGCTCCCCACAGGTATAAAGTACAACTTTTAGAGTATGAGTTTTGAGAAAAACAGATTTAACATCCTTCCCCTCCCAACTGTCGGCTGATGAACTGGTCTCTGTGGTGCCCAAACAAAGCAAGCATGACATTTTCATTTCTGGGTAAAGAGAAAGAGCACTCCTTTTTTTGTTTTGTTTTGTTTTGCCTGAATTTTGGAGGCCAGCTGAACCTGTGAGCTTTGTGAACAGTAGTATTCATGGTGATTCTGGTGATGTGTGGATGCAATCATGTAAGTAGAAATAAAACCGGATCATAAAGCAAAGCAGAATCCTCCATAGGATTAATATCACTGGGTAAAAAAAAAAATCTTGAATAAGTTTACAAATTTCTTGTTAAATGCGTCCATGTTTAAATGGAACTTAAGTCTTCCTAGGAAAAGACAAAGTCTCTTCATCTAAATTCTCACCAATTAAAGTCACAATGTTATAATAATATACACAGTGAATGGAGTTCAAAGATGCCCACAATGGTTAATATTTTATGAGAAAATCAATTAATGAGGAACAATAAGAATGAAATGCCAACTTTTCATTGTGCAACAGGGAAGCAGTGTGTTTAGTGGAAGAGAAGAAGTTGCTAAATCAGACTCAGATTTGAATCAGGAGGGAAGCAGTGTGTTTAGTGGAAGAGAAGTTGCTAAATCAGACTCAGATTTGAATCAGTTGATAAGTCATTTACATTCTCTGCTTCAATTTCATCAGTAAAATAGGAATGATAACAACTATTTGTCAAGATTGTTACAAGAAAAAAATACACAATTTATAATAATAAAAGCATAATATGCTAATTATACCGGACAACAGAACAACGTTCCAGACGTCCTTTTGGATGAAGCTGCGGCAGTAGGGGCTGAAGCAGAGGCGGTTGGGGCAATCAGGCAGGTAGGCAGAGTGATTAGGGGCGATGAGGTAGGCAGGTGAGTAGTTAGGGGAGATGAGACAGGCAGGCAGAGTGGTTAGGTCCTGCATCGGGTCTAAACCGGCAGTTGGACATCCCCTGAGGGGTCCTGGATTGCGAGAGGGTACATGCCGGGCTGAAGGACTCCCCTCCCCCACCCGCATGAATTTCATGCATCAGGCCTCTAGTATATTTATAAAATATAAAGGATAGTGACATATAAATATAGGAACTCAAAACACAATTGATATCAATACCCTGATCTTTTTCCCTCCACTTCTATGGACTTTTTGAAATTCAATTTTAAAAACTAGAAGAAAGAATTAGTGCATAGACATTAGGGTTGCTTCTGATAGAATTTTGGTGGCCTACTAGTATCACTGAGAATAGAGTATTTAATTGAAAGTGCAGACATGAAAATTAGGGGAAAATGATGTGCAAACAATACCTGATGTAATTATAAAAACTTTATTTCTCTCTTCCTTTCATTAAATCTTTATAAGCACCATGTCATGTACTGGCAAATCTAGAACGAAGATACCGAATGCTTTACTCAATAACGAACTGCACGCTGATGATGGTTCGTTACAGCCACATGGAGCATGTGAGCAACACCACAGTTAGAAAGGTTCCCTGGAGAGTCTTGTGACAACGCACAAGACAGGAATCCAGCTTTAATCTGTTCACACTTTCTATGGTCAGAACCCAAAGCTTGTGCATGTAAACATCAAAAGAAACATTTTATCACCTTGACAGTTTACAGTTTGCTAAAATGACGCTGAAAGCATAAATGCTGCTATTGTTTTCTTGACCAGTGGTTGGCCATAGGCTGAAAAGATCAATTCCTTTAAAATTTAAGTGATGCTTAATGGCTATGTTTACACTGCGCACGCTACCAGCAAGCCTTTTGAATGTGTTCAACTCTCATGTGTGATCACCAAACCATTATTTATTCACCTAATGAAATTGTGAAAAATTATACATTTTCAGCAAAATGTTTCCATCTGGTCCTATTTTCAAAGACCCAATTGCCAAGGTGTTTTACATAAATTTAATTCACAAGCATGTACACAAGAGAATCACTATAAAGAACATTGCTTCCTGGTTTATGAATAAAAAGTTTATCCTCTACTTACACTAAACCATACAAAAAATAATCTACAAAAATCATTTACCAACGACTTCTGTGAAAGAAAAAGCTTCAGGGAAAAAAATGATTGTGTGGTGGTAGTATTTTAGCCATCAAAAAAGGAATGTCAGTAACCAATAAATATAATGTGCTTTCTCCATATAGACATATTTACACTTGAGTCTTTGGCTTATGTTTTTTTTCTAAAAAGAACTTTAAATGATCCAGCCATCATTGCACATTAAAAGAAAATAAGCCAGTTATATATATTTATATATTTATATAGAGATCTGCTACACTTGAAACATATAAAAAATGAATTTTACTATGAATTTGCACAGCTTTTCTTTCTTGTTCCTTTAAAGATTTAACATCTTTTATCTGAAAAAGGGAGGAAAACACCACGTGGAAAGTATTAATTCATGCAACACATGGTGGCTGCTCTACCAAAACCAGGAGAGAAAAGGCGCATGTTCACTGTACAAACACCGATACGTTCTCAGTTGAATTTGGTTCTTATTAAATATAGTTTATGTGGCACGAAATGTTGATGCTTTCATACAGTAATAGAAACTAATTGAGTCCTTTTTATTAAGATACACGACTTCATAAGAAAAATACTTTTACCTCTTGAATGTAAAAGTCTCCCACCCCCCACATTAAAATCTTTCTGCGCAGGTGTGACAATACAGCAGCTGCTGGCTCAACAGATGAACAGGCTTCTGTTTGGATCCGGAAGTCTCACCCAACTAAGAGGATTCCAGGTACTCCAAAGCCACATCATAGCAGAAACGGTACTGCTCCTGGAAGACGTTAAGAAAAAAAAAGACTAGTAGTAAATAATAGTTACCAAATGAAAAATCAGCACACAATCTAGATTATTCAAGAATTACAAATTATTTTTTCCATAGACAAGTTGAATATCTGGGAATACATATTTTGCATCCGAGTCTACTTGCTGTTTAAGGAAAAGAGACAATGTAAAAAATATGTTGTCTTTGCCATATATTTTTCTATTAAAATTTAAAAAAACCTCCAGTTTTTTTAAAGCTGATGAAGACAGTAATACCTGATCATGATATAAAAATTTTCCAATATAGAAATATAAAGAATCATAAAAATATTTTATATAATTCTATCACCAGTAAATAAAATTGTTACAGTACTGCCTTAGTTTTGCTTTAGTCCTTAGTTTTGCATGATTGAAATAATAATTACTTTAGAATAAATATAGTTGCATATATATATTTGAGGATATAATATATATAATATATGTAATTGATTTCAGAGAGGAAGGGTGAGGGAAATAGAGAAAGAAAACTGAATGATGAGAGAGAATCACTGATTGGCTGCCTCTTGCATGTCCCCCACTGGATATCAAGTCTGCAACCTGGGCATGTGCCCCCATGGGGAATGGAACCATGAACTCCTGGTTCATAGGTCAATGCTCAACCACTGAGCCATGCTGGCCTGATGAGGATATAATCTTATATAATACTAGGAGCCCAGCGCACGACTCGAAATTGCGCAGCACCGCCCACCCACCTGCAGCCCTGCCTTGACACCCAAACCTGTCCACACAGAACTCCAGTGTGCCTGGCCCAGCCCCCAAACCCTCTGGCCTTCTTTGGCCACTTCAAGCCCTGCCCTCAGTCTCTCGAGTTGCCTCGGGCTGGTCCCACCTTCTCTGGCTGCCTCCCCGCTTCTGCCCATCTCTGGAGCAATGCAGCGGCTCCACCCCGTCATGGCGCAGGAGAGCATAGAAGGCTCCCGCCTGTTGCGCTGTGCTCCTTCCCCTGGCCAGTGGGCTGCGGGGCACTCAGAGTGCAAGCTGTGGGTGGCGAAGGACTAGTGAGGGGGGTGCTATGGGCTCTCACACCCCCCTCCCCAGGACGGGATGGTCCTGCCTCCTCTGGGCACCTCCCCACTTCCACCCTGTCTCTGGAGCAATGCCCCAGCTAATATGCTAATGACCTGGCCATTACCATTATGGCGTATCAACTATTAGCATATTAGCTCTTTATTAGTATAGACTACAGGCCTGGTGCACAAAATTCGTGTACTGGGGGTGAGGGGGGAGGGTGTCCCTCAGCCCAGCCTGTGCCCTCTTGCAGTCCAGGACCCCTCGCTCTTTACCACCTGCCTGCTTGCTGCTCCTTAGTGCTGCCACAAAGCCTCCCGTGACCACTGTTGCACTTGCCAGCCGTGAGCCCGGCTTCTGGCTGAGTGGCGCTCCCCCTGTGGGAGCGCACTGACCACCAGGGGGAAGCTCCTATATTGAGCATCTGCCCCCTGGTAGTCAGTGCATAGCGACCAGTCATTCCACCGTTCGGTCGATTTGCATATTAGGTTTTTATTACATAGGATTGCCTTTTGAGTAACATTATGTAACTTTCCCCCATGTTAATAGTCCATAAAAATCTAACAGATGGATTATATGACTATTAAATTGCATATATTTGCTTCTTCTATTATAAATAATACTATAGTGAATACATGCAAATATTCTTTCCCTTACTTAAAGATATTTTTCCTTAGCAGAAAAAAAAAAGCCAGTTATTTCCAACTGCCACTTTACAATTCCAAATTCTTAATTTTTGTCAGTTTTTGGTTCATCAGCGTATTCAAGTAAATTTTAAAAATTGGTTAGCGGTTCTTAACATTTTTTGAGCTTATTTATATCTGAAAATGTATATCTACTGCCTTTATATATTTAAGATAATTTTGTTAGCAATAAAATTTTTGGAGTTTAAACTGCCTTTTCTCTAGGTCCATCTAGGTGTGGCTTCATTATTTATAATTTGAAAAAATTCAGAGACTGTATTATAAATTATGACTTACAATATGTAACTCATTAAAAACTTTCCAATTCAATCCCAGTAGGTAAAATTCAGGCTGAACTGGGGAATAATGTAAAACATATTATTTCTAGCAAACTTCCAGGTGTCTCCAGCAATAAACTAGGGTAATAAAAACTTTCCCCAAGAGGTCTTTATCAATCCTACCCTAATGATCAAGAAGAGGTGACTTAAATTAGGCTACCGAAGAACCAAAAAGTGCTTGAAGCAGTTGTGTCTTTTCAGTCAGTCTCTAACAATTTGTTTTACACTCTAAATGTCCTTACCAAACGTTTCAGTACAAGTCAGTAGCACATTGAACTCATAGTTAACTCCGATGAAACACAAATCAGAGGGTGGGGAGCTCTGCCAGGATTCACGGGACATAAATTAAAGGTAAATAGTAACCCTTTGGAGGCTTAAGAATGGCAGAGTTTAACCGCAGAATTTTTTTCTTAAGGCAATGGTGAAAAAATCAAAGTGAAATTTGGAGGTAAAGTTGAATTCTGAGGCCAGAAGTGATGATTTTTAAGAAGACTTGATCTGGGAGAGAGAGGCAGAGTTTACATCAAGAAATCTTCAGGCTGCAAGTAGTTTAAAGACATAACCACTACTCATCTGCTTTTTAAGATGGCTCAGAGTTCTACCTCACAATGCCCTCAAATCCATCCCCCACTGACAACGCCCTAGTCAAAACCAACATGACCCCGTTTGGACAACTGCAATAACTTTAGGGATGAAGTGGACTGAATGGGGTGGGAGGACTTGCAGAAGGGAGAAGTCTGTTATCTTTCTTGAAAGCGAAAGAGTATGCATGTAACTCTTCAGATTTTGTCTCAGAAGCCATGCCCTGCTTGTGTGAACAATCCATGTGCAGGAAGTGGTGAAAATACTTAAGAGTTTATTGAATTGCTCATTTTAGTTATCTGATCATCTTGATAAATGTAGAGCAAGCAACAGTGACGCCTATGTTTTTCTGGTTTACTTTTCTGTGAGCATAAACTACACAACTGCTCCTGACTTCATCCCACCATGCACATATGTGTAACACACAGACATCTCTCTTTAGAAGAGAAATGTGCGAGAGAAGTTTAACTATCTTAGTGTCATACAGCTTCACCCAGATACACTCCTACATACATGTATCTATCTGCTCGTATTTTGTAAACTAAGTTCTGCTTTTCTGAACTCTGGCCAATTCAGGTACCGTCATATGAACTACACTCTATAACTGGTAAACGCTGAGAATTGTCAATGATGACAGTTAAAAAAATGTATAACTTGATTAGAAATGAAGAATTATAAATAATGACTAAAATAAATTTCAGTTCTCCTTTAAAAACATTGGGTGACTAAATTGCTGAAGGAATTTACAAGTATATCCCTCAGATTAATTTTATCAGTTAACTCAATATGCTTCAAGAAATAAAAATAATAAGAATAAAGCCTAGATAGGTTTGTTCTTATGATAGAACCACTTATCAAACTTTATTGTAGCAAATACTTATTGCCCATAACAGAAAAAGAAATTCTATACATTTTCAAATTTAGTGAAAATAGTTTTCTTCATCATTAGCAGTTTATGAGATATGTGAGTAAGTGATCAGGGTAGACAAGGATGCTCAACAATTCATCAATTAGGCAGGAAAATCCCCACTGACTCATTTACACATGTGATTCCCTGTGTGTGTATGAAATCAACTCCCAAGTAGGTAAATAACTGACTAATGTCTACGTTCCCTTCCACCTCTAGGACTCTGACTCACCGGGGCTTCCACCATGTTGGGCTTGCTGTTCCTTAGTGTCTTCACCGCATGGAACACATCGACAACGTTCTGCCGTTTCACCATTTCAACCACAATGCCTATAGCACAGAACATGCCACTTCGCCCGCCACCATTTCTAAAACCGAAGAAAGCAAAGGCATTTTAGTCTGAGGTTTTGGGTGACGATAGGTGATACAAAGATATATGTTTGGAAAAGAAAATATTATCTTTAACATTTTTTTCGTTTGGGTCTTAATTTTGCTTCATATGTGTGTACGTATGCGTACAGGGCAGAGAAAAAGGACCCTTGAGGAAGATGATAGCTCAGTAGTTTGTGCTTTGAAATATGCTACAGGCATAAACTGCCAACCTAGATACGCTGAGATTTTGATAGACCTGCAAACTGTATAAATCAGGAAAAGTGGTTTAAAGGAGTATTCAAAATAGTTTAAATCACTATAATCAGGTTCTAAAAACATCAGAAAATTAAAGTCAGTAGTTAATTATGGAATTATGGTACAGAAATATCGATGGAGTTATGTAAGATGTGAGTTATGCAGCATGGACCACGAGCAGGCTGGTGAGGAAATGGGCAGCGAGCTCCCTGGCCGGGCCAGCTGCGTACTCACAGGCAGTGGATGATCGTCCGGCCTTCCCCTTCCTCGCATTCCTCCTGCCATTTTTCCACCTGCAGGATCAGTTTCAAAAATGATCGTTTGGAGCCTGGCACTTCTCGATGAGAAGCCCACCCTAGATACTGAAACTGCTGCACCATCAGATACCCTTCCTGTGGCTGTGGAGAAAAAAAAAATATTGTCATGTAAGTAGGGGCTAGAAATAGTACTAAAAAGCAATAGGTTCATATCAATTGACACCATGATATAAATGACATTTACATTGGAGTCTTTAAGTCCTAAATACGTACATGCCCATGCAGAAGCATTCTAAGTTACAGAAGCAAAAAACATGAGAATTATTCTTCATATAAGCTTCTCCCTCATACCTTTAATCCAACAATCTATAATAATAAAAACATAATATGCTAATGAGACTGGGTGTCCTTCCTTCCAGACAAAGCCTTAGTGGGGGTGGGGGGGGAGCGGGAGGGAGGAAGTGGCCATAAGCAGAGGCAGTAGGCAGGGGCTGGGGCCATGGCCCTTGCACCAATTTTATGCATCGGGCCTCTAGTCAATTCCAATGTTTATACTTCTTAAATAACCTTCGAAGTTATCTCTTCTTTATCACCACTGACATCACTGTACTACCAATCACAGGCTATGATGAATAGCTCCTCCTGGATCTCCCTGAATGAACTGTGATCTCCTTCCAAATCATTCTTACTGCAGGCAACATGATTATTTTGCAATGCAAATTTGATCTTGTCCTTTTTTTTTTTGCTTTAGTGGCTTCCAAATGATCTTATCATACGATTCAAGTTACTGTCATGGCTTAAAAATCCTATGCAACCTGGCTCCATCTTTCTCAACCTTCTCTTCACTTGAATACACTATTCAAGTGCCAGACACATTAACCTTCTTTTAATTCATTTATCAAGTAATTTCTTGCTCTTGGGGCTTTGAACATACATTTGCTTGTGTCCTGAACATTTCCTTCTTGCTTGCCCTTCTCAATTCCAAATAGTGATCAACTTGTCTTGGGTTTGCCAAGGACTTTTCAGATCTCTGCTCTAACACTCATGTGTACCCCAAACCTCTCCATCCTGTGTAAACCTGCATAGCTGGTTATCCCACCCCTGAATGGCTTCTACTGATTCTTCAAATTTTGGCTTAAACACCACTGTCTCAAAGAAATCTCTGATTATCCAGCTATGTCAGTTCACGCAAACACGTTGTATTTCTGTACTCTATAAAATGACTCATATTTGTAAATAAATGATTACTTAGTTTTTTAATGTTTGTCTTCCCTGATAAAATAGTAATTCTTTAAAGATAAGGAAACTTCTCCCTTTTCCCCCTAAACTCTGTACCATTCACACTTAGCAAAATAGTTTCAAAAAAAGAGTATTGTTAAATGAATGAATCAAAGCCTCAAATAAAAATTGTAAGTAAGAATACGGAATGCATGAGTAAGCCATAGCATATGGCATCAGATCTGAAGCTTCATCAGGCAAGGGCTCATGTATCTTTTGGTAGGATGAGAACCTACCTAGTACAATACTAACTTCTTGGTGGTGCATACTAAGTATTTGATGAAGTGAATGACATTAAATAATGAGATAAAAAACAGAAAAAAATTCCTGCACTAATAAGGACCAGAACACCCAATACAGAGGAAAATAAACAAATAAATATGCTGACAAAAAGTGTAACACATTTCAATCCCTGTTCCTGGAATATTTTTCATATAAACAGTTCAATTAACAGACGAGTCTTACTTTCTTAGTTTAGCGGCTATGGTTTCTCAGCAAAAATATTGCTAGAACCATAATGTAACAGATGTGCAGACATAATGAGACTTCATTTAAATTAACATCTAAGATATGCATGAATATTATGACAGAATTGAAGTTGTCTTTTTCTCCACTAAAATGAGCAATAGAATCAGGTAAAATTTTACCCTCTATTGTTATATACATATAGACTTATTAACTAGAAAGGCATATAGCCATTTTGATATAAAAACACTTTATTATGACAATCCTAATCACACAATTAAGAGACATGCAGAGAGCTGCTGCTAAAGAGTAATTTTAAAAAACAGTGTAATTTTGTAGAAGTTACTAATGTTTTCTTTTCAAATTCTGCTTATTTGATTACATAATCTAAACAGTTTTTTTATTAATATTTCTTGTTTTTAATTGGCCTTTTAGCATAAAGCACATGAGGAGGACTCTTCAGGGTCACAGTTGCTACTTTGCTCTTGGAAAGGGCACAGCGATAGCACTGGTTCTATCTACCTATAGATCTGGGCAGAGTAAACGTTGGGATGTTTAGAAAGATGCAAATGTAAGTGGGAGGAGAATCAATGACATCTGTGAGTTACCCTTTCCTTCACGCCAGCTTCTCCCTCATACACAGGACTTGGGATAGTGACGTGGAACCTTCTCTAATGGCTCATCCAACATAGCCTTTCCTCCTGAGGAGAGCTTCTTCTCTGTCAGCATTATTATTATGTCATTATTTTCTTAACTGCATGGCTTTTCTGAGCTGGATGTCAATCCTAATCAAACCAGCAGTCAACCCAGCGATACAGCCACATGTGCCGAGGAGCCAGGCAGACAATCAGACTGAAACCAGTGCATCTGAATCTAGATTTTCATGCGGTATACGTTAGTCCAGGAGTTGACCAGAAAACTTAGCTTCCAGCATTTCTGCTTTCCTGCTTTTAGAGTGCCTTTTGCTCTAGTACTAAGGTATAAGATGATTACTAGACTTGGGACTGATTATGTAATGCTTATTAATTCTACTCATGTTGTGTGAGCGGAACTGTACCCCATCATGGTTATGCTCTACCTGCTCTGGATCAGCTCAGTTAGAATGATTAAACAATGACTTACTCTTGTTAGATTGCATATCCTAAAAATCCGGTTTATCACATCACAATCCATTGAACAAGACATACATTCCACTTGGATAGGGCCATAGCGTAGCATCCCTTCTTCTGGCCAGTACTGAGGGCAGCCCTAGATGATGAATGTTTTGAAAGAAAAAGAGTATGTTTTTTTTTTTTCTAACTAGTATGATATAAAGCATTTTATTACTATGTTATTAAGTTGTTTATAAATACACAAAAGCAATCCATAGCCATTGACCTGGGACAAGTCGACTTCATTTAACATCACAATAGAAGTACAGCCATAATCATATACTAATCTCCAGAAGTCCTTCACAGTGTTTGGCAGAGGGTATTGTGTGACGATGAAAGCAGCTGGTTGCCTGTAGCTCTGTGAAGACACAGGGTAGATGGAGAAACATAGGATTTAAAATGCACCATCAGTTGTACAAGCAGATTCAACAAACTTCAACATAGCACCAGTGAGATATAATAGCTTAACACGGAATGGAGCCAGACTGTGGTACAAGGCATGGAACATCAGGTCTGAACCACTGGAAAGTACTGAAACTAGCAACTAGTCAATCTGATGGTAAAACTTTGATGTCTCAACAGCAAATCAAGTCAAATAATTTAATTTTTACTTTATTGAGAAAGGTAAATATAGGACAAAGAGAAAAGAAGAAACTAAAGAACTTCTTCCCATCCAAGTACTAACCAGGCCCGACCCTGCTTAGCTTCCGAGATCAGATGAGATCGGGCGCATTCAGGGTGGTATGGCCGTAGACTAAAGAACTTCTTGAGATTAAGATCCTCCATGAGGTACTAATATCAGGCTGTTTCAGGATTCCAAAGGTAATCCAAAAGCCTGATGGCAAAGTAGGCACAACATTCCCTGTAGTTTGTGTATGTGTGTGTGTGTGTGTGCGCGCACACCTCTCTATCAATCATCTATATCAACTCTAATATAAGTAGCAGTTTGGTTCTCCTCCACTCCAAATAAGAGAAACCACACATGCCTCAAACTCACGTGCTCTTACATTATAGGGATATTATGAGCACATTATGTACATCTTATGGATAATCTACTTCCCTTAGTTTTCTGGGTATTTTTAATGTAAATCAATAAACACAAACATAGTTCTAAACATTTAAGTACCAAATCACGCCAAGTACAAAAGAGCAAAACGAATGAACTTCTTTGCTCCACCTAAGAGGGAATGGGTCCTCATTTGCCAAGTGACCCCTCATTGGAACACAATACATTCTCTCTTTCCAGAAAGAGGGGGTAGTAAAGGCAATGCACATCTGGCCTGGGCAATCTCTTGTTCTGCAGGTTGATGTCCTACACTAAAATAGAAATATTTATTTCTCTGTAATAACTTAAACTATGATTTGTAAAAAAAATACCCAACAACCTAGACAGATTTTAATGCTGATAAAACTGTCAGTGATCTACTAACTCATTTATATCATACTCCTTTTTAAAGTCCTTAAAATGTCTTAACATGAATGTAGAATCTGACCCTTGAACTTCATTGATCCTACCATCATTTGGGAAATGCTGCTAACCATGGTATTTCACCCTAGGAAGAATTGCAGGATAAACGTGAGTAGACAGTAATTCGCCTGTCTGCTTCTAAATGGCCTCAATACCTCACAAAATTCCACCTGTAGCCTCCTAAAAAAGTATGAAGTCTTATGAGAAAGGATGAGAAGACAGTAGCTTTCCTTCCAATGAAATCCCTGCTCCATGGAAAGTAAGCTAAAGGAGACTGATACAGATTTACTCTTTTTTTTTTAAAAAATCACAGGGGTGGGGAGATGGATAAGGAAGAGATGATATGGGAGACTGAAGATTTCTTATTTCTTTAATGCGTATATAACACTAATTATGAGGATGGAGGAGGAAGGGAAGGAGGCAGTGTTGACCAACCTCTTCTTATAAGCCAAATCGAATCTTACTTTTCTGAAGCCCCAACTATATACTACTAAATCCACCGGGTAGTTTCTACTATGAAATACATTTGTTCGATAAAGGGAAACTAAGCAGAGAGTAGAAACAGATAGAGTACAAGGTTCAGTCCTCATATTAACTAGAAAATAACCTGGAAATCAAGAAAAATTTGACAGAGATGCCAAAGACAAAATGAAAGATATCAATATCTTTCCTTCGTTCCTTTTGACACATCTTTTTTTCATTCCAAATCTAGACTCAGAAGCGAAAGGTCTTGAATGTTTTCTCTCTGTACTTAGTATATTTGCCTTTCCAGACAATTAGAAGGAGAAGTGAGAATCCAATGTGATTTCAGTGAAAATAATTAATGGCTAGGCAAAACTCTGATCATAGCAAGGATGGGAACGTTCCACTTGAGCTTGCCTTTAGACTGTTCTGCTCTACAGCATTGAAAACAGAACAGAGAAACTGGCTAAAAGACTAGTCTTGGAAGGAGAATGTGGATTTTTCTAAGTCCATAATCTGAAGCTAATTTTGAAAAACACAATAGAGTAGCAACTTAGAAAGTTTCATTCTTAGTCACAAAGAAAAGACCTTTGACATCTAATTTCTGGTTGCTATGGTGCCAAAGGCTAAAAGGCAAAAACTAGAAATGTTTACAAAAGAAGGTGACAAACTGTTCAAAAGGATTCTGAATCTTGAGATCCTCTTGCCTTTTCCAAGGTAACCAAAGCAGGGTGGCTAAGGACATAATTTAAAACTCTCTTTCCATGTTGATCTGTCTACGGGATGCTAAGATGCTGAGCACCTGCTTTTCAATCTACAGCGTATGAAGATTGGTGGGGGGCATGTCAGTTCTTTCATTATGATAGATGCATTAACCTGATATCTTCCCTAGTTACTCATAGCCTGTATTAACTCATGCCAATAAAACAAGTTAGTTCTAAATTATTGGACCATTAAATGTCAAAGATACTATTGTCCCAATTTAATAGAACATCAGAAAGCTAGGGCATTCTGTGATTTTTAAAATTACTTCCTAACTGTATTTAAAATAGATAAGCATGATCTTTCCTGCAAATAATTAAGATTAAAAAAAAAACTCACCTAAAGATATTTCCTGTTCAGCATATAATAATTGATAATCAAGATCCAAATTTACAATAACACCTCAAACTTACAATTCCTAAGAATCCCTGTAGGGGAAATTCAAAATCATTCTCAAAAAATTTTGTATTGCAATGAAAGTTTCCAATTTTTCTTTACAGGCCATTTTAAGTTTCCTGAAAAGAAAACTAGCCAGTGTTCAACGCATTATGTAGCTTTTCACGACACTTTACACTAACAAAGAGAGCAGTCTCTTACATCCATAAGAGCAGCATTGATGTAGTTACTGCTCTCCCCATCAATTGTAATTAGAAAAGGCAGACATCTGTCAGGTGGCAGCATGTCCATGAAACGGTTCTTGTCGTGGTTCCTTGGCAGGCATGCTATGCTGCAGTCTTCGGCTTGTAGTCGAGGGGTGACTGAATTCAAGGTCTAAAAAAAAAGGGAGCCCAGGTTAAAACACAGCGACCCATTTAAATAGCAAATGCAGATTCATCAAGTATTTACGAGGCCAAGTAGAAAATGAAGGATTTGCACAAGGTATTTATGAACTGTACAATGTGCCTTTCCTTAAAAGGAAAAGGGAAGCTGAACAACACAGCTACCTGCATAATGCATTGCCCAACCAAATACAATGCAATCAGAGTGTCCTATGATAATGACCCATCACCCAAGTTGGAAACTATCATTTCTAAGAACATGTGGCATGCCATATTTAAAGATAGACTGGCAAGAGCACTGGGTAAAGAATCAAAGTATTACGATTCTAGAGGCACTTCATAGTCACACACTTCCATGGATGTTTTAAGGGCAGTGTAAACATTTGGTGTATTTTAGAAACAAATGTTCTGCACAAACTTTAGCTATTATTATTAATGTGTTTGGTCCCACATTTTGAGTGACACAGAAGGCCAAAATGCTTTAGACTGGAAAAATATGAAGGTTGTAAATATATAAAAATCACCACTAAATTTGACTTTTATGATATCTTTTTCCCATACTCTTCCCTGAGTCTGAATTCATTTGCTTTTCATGATGCAGCAGATACAAGCTCATTAATACAAAAGTGACTGCACAATATGCATACTGAAAGAGAAAGGTATTATACTTAAAATCAGGTCAAAGGTTTTAAATTTGACTTGAAAGACCTCCCTTAGAAGAATTAATAATGCCCGGAACAAGTTGAAATAAGTTGCTCATAAAGGAGGACCTAGAAATAGCAAATACCTGGAATTCGTCTTTGAGATGTGAAGAATTAGTCTGGGAATCTATTCTAATCATATCAAAATATGCAGCTTTAAATTCACAGACAGGTATGGCAGTTTCTCCACATAAGCAGGCTTCTAAAATGGCATCATGAATAAAAATGTACTGTTCCTATTAAAAGAAAGAAAATGAAAATCTTCATATCATTTTAATAAAACTTATCTGTCATCAAAGATAGAGAACTCAGAGAACTTTCTCTACATGGAAATATGAACAAAAACACCAATATGAATAAAAATACCAATCAGTATTAGCTTGATGAGCTACTATTGATTCTATGTAAAAAACACTGGCACATTGTTTGAAAAATGTTGGAAGTGTACAAAAGAAACCCACTAGAGGTAAACCAACGATGAACATACCTCTGTCTGGACCATATTGATACGACGAGATCTTAAGGCTTTGACACAGTTGTAGATGTCAACCACGCCCTCTCTTTCAGCCATGTCCAGCATGATATCAATCACAATGTAACAGCCAGTTCGCCCAGCACCGGCACTGCAAAAAATTAAACAAATCTAAAGAGTTGCAGGAGCATGTCTATGCAACCTTAAATAAAGATCCTTTCCCCTTTCAGATAGGTGGAATCAAAGTAATTCCACAGAGCACAAGACATAATTTGTACATATTGTATAAACAATTATTAATGTACAAAAAAACTTCATGTAGAATATATAGTTGGGTGCAAACTGAAGATTGAAATAAGAGTTCCAAATTAGATGACATAACTTTGTGAATCAAATTATTTTTATAAATCATTATGTTGAAAATAATGTACGTACTTTGTTCAAATTCCATAGCTCTCTTACGTAGTCTTCATGTTATGAAAACCAAATACATATAATTTCAAATTCATAGAACTGACCCAGAAGGACTCACACTTTAACATTTAACCCCAAGGTGTATAATTTAATATTCATGTGAGTCTTCTAGCAAAATGCAAGACTGCTGGTTCTCTTAGTCAAACAGACTCTTGTAAATTCCAAGGCCAAGGAACATTAATTCCAAAGCTTTTCAATGAGAAATCTGAGAAGCCACAATGCAGGGTAAATGCTAATGGTGAGGGTGGGAAAAAATGGTGCTTATTAATGGTAAGTAGACCAATAGTAGAAAGACTCTTTTGAATGGAAATCTGAAGGAAAATAAAAATGAGTTGTTGCAGTACAATTCTTATCAGATCACTATAAGATAGTCACTACCTTAAGGTATTTAAATCAATACTTGGAATCATAATATACTGTTGATAATTTTGCCCCTTAGGATTGCTTCTCCAATTTTATATATAGAAGTCAATGGAGCAAACAAGATATACTGGGATTTTTTTTTTTAAGGGGGAGGAATTCCCCTTGTAATCTGCTTCCTTTTCCATAAATTCAGAGATATCTGAGTTTAAGTAGAAAAATGACACTTATGTTTCAAGAGAGTATTTAAGAATCTTGGGGCACTTCTGAAGCAAATAAACGAGAGGAAAATAAACCCCTATGATAAGTCAAAACAACTCTGAATTAAAAACCTTTAATTTCATTTTCTAAATGCATGGATAGACCACTAACATTATTTCTTTGTTGTCCAGATTTAGTCACTTCTCTTAAACTCACTGTTCTATAAGGAATTTAAGTAAAAGATATTGTGAACATCTCTATTCCCTTTTTCCCCCTCTTTTCTTTATCTCTCTCTTTTTTTCTTCTTTTGCCTACTGTCTCTCAATCACTGTTCCCAGGGTTTGAGACAGAAAAGTAATTGAAGAATACCTCAGATTTCTTTAGGAGGACTGAATTAAGATTGCTTATTTTCCAGGGTACATAGTATCTGATACTGAGGGGCTGACTTTTATTTTACTCTCTGTGGGGTTTTCCCCCTTTTATTCATGACCATTTAAATTCTGAATAGGCTGGATTTTCAGAAAGAAAAAAAAAATGCTTTAGTACAAATTATTGGGTAGCGTGGAGGAGATAGTATGTGAGAATGGTGTGTAGCATTTAGAAAAAGCCTTTCAGATTCAGTATTCTTCTGTTCCCATCTCAAAATGAGGCCATGTAATTTGCTTTTAGTGCCACACAGTGCTTGTTTTAAGAGAAGTTTCTAATCAGAAGAAAGTCTGGATATAATGTTCACATTTTTCCAGCATCTATTTCCTGGATTTCACTGATGTAGTTTTCAAGGTCCTCTGATGGATGTTTTTTTTAAAAAAAATTCTTAAATAGCTGTGTTATAGCACAAATTCTTGCATTTTAGGCCATTTACTAACTTTGTATGTCTCAAATTTAGTTTTAAAAGCTGGGATTCTATTGGGAATTTACTAGGTTGGCAAGAAATCTCTATTTCAACCTGCCATTCTATACAATATGGGATTTGCAAAGGCAATAAAAGAACCCCCCAAACACAGATGTTGCCACTAAAAAGCAATTTCTACACTCATAATTGTGGACAGCACTATACACATTAGGCTGACTGTATTTATTTCTTAAATTTCTACTTTATATCCTCCTTATGGCTTTTATTTCCTTGCTATTTTACCTTATCTGTAATACATGCAAGCGGGCATTTCGTAAGCATGCATTCGTTTTTGTACTTCAAGCCTTAGCTTGATACTTTTACAAAAGCTGGCTGTACACAGTCCATCCCATTTAGACCATCACTCACCTGCAATGCACCACGATGGGGCCGGCACTGGGAGGGTTGGAGAACTTGACTCGCCGGATAAAGGAAAGCAGCCCTGTCGCATGGTAGGGCACTCCATGGTCAGGCCAGCCGGTGAAATGGAACTGCTTAACTTCACGAATCTCATTGTACCCCCTCTGTGCAAACAAGGGAAGCAGTGTTTTCAGATGGCCCAAAATAAAGTCATAAAACACAGCCCTGAGTACTAGACCAGATAGACAATGAAAAAATGTACCAGGATCACGCTTTTTCTGAGAAAGGATGCTGGTCTGACATAGCCCAGGAGCTTACATTTATTGTCAGACAACTGCCAAAGAAAGAAAATTAGAAGTCTTGCTCAGGTTTATAAGTCTGGGTAAATTTTATTTACTCTGACAGTTTGTTCCTTCCTGGGAATGACAACACATAAAATTAGGGGGAAAGGAAGAAATGGAAAAGCGAAAATGCTGCCCTATTGACCCAAAGCACTGAGTACTCAAGTAGTTTATAAAAGCAACTTTCTAGCTTCTCACACCTCACAAAGAGACTGTACTGCCTGGCTTATCCATTTGCTTATCCATGTTGAAAATGGTTTTGAAGCGTAGCATGTAGAGATTTTCCAGGAGAGTGCTACTCTAGACTGGTTTATAAAAATATACAGACAGCTAAACTATTCTTTGGGCAGCCTATTTTCCTAACTCTGTGAAATAATTCAGCACACAGAGTATTATTTATAGTAACAAAAATACAAAATGAAAGAGGTGAAGCATCCATTGTTGGGCCTCCTATTGGGTTAATTTAAGAGAAGCCTTTAAATGCACATTTCAAAGCTTTCCCTTCTTTTTGTTAGAAGAAGCCTGTAGATTGTGGTAGCACTGGTTAGAAAGCACAGATACAGTGCTCCAGAATTTATTTTTCAGAACCCACATTTGTAGCAAAAAACCAAAAACTAAAAAACCCAAAAAACCCCACCATAACCTATACAATTTCAACTCTATTGTGAGCTTATCTGTGAAATCTCATCTCAGTTGTTCAGACAGAATAGGTAGAAAAATTGCATGAAATAAGTGAAACAAATTAAGAAAGCTTATTTTTAGATTCTATCCTATGTGCACCAATACTACCCAAACCTTGGAAGACAATATGGTCATGTCATATTATTCTTTTTAATTCCAATTCCTAGTACAAGACCCTGCAGAAAGCAGGGCTCAACAAGTAATTATAATAGCAACAATAATAAACATCACCATGGAGTGATGGTGATGGAAAACCTCTCTCATTACTCCTTTCAAAGTCAACTCTAGTGAGAAAGGTCATAAATTGTTCTAAGACCTGATTTTTGATATTAATTCACCTTCTCTACATTAACCCTCTTACTGGAGTTGCTACAAGGACCTTGCTCTTTTTAGTAAATTTTCATAACATTTTTTAAATGTCTATTCAGTTTTTTTTATATTATTAACATAAAAGCTAGAATTTATGGATAATTATCTTGAATTGGTCACCTAAATAAATGATTATTGACTCAATTTAAAAATATTATCGCTGTTTCCTTGGTATAAAATAATTTCATTTAAAAATAATTTTGTTTCTTCTAATAGTAATGCAGTTTATTCCTTTTGTCTTATATCATTTGATAGATGTTGAATACCAGTAAGAATGATTATCCGTATCACATTCCTGATTATAACTGAAATTCCTTTAATTTTCACTTCTTAACACCCATGCTGCTACTGTTGAATCACCTTTATCATGTTTAGGGACTCTCCTTATTTTCCTAATATGAGTATTATTATAAATGTTGAAATCAAAATAAGTGCACTACAATGTTTATTGATAAAATCACATGGTTTTGTTCCTTTAAAGCACTGACATAATGAAATATCCTACCACAGATGTAACATCTTTCTATTCTTAGAAAAAATCACAACGAATCATGTTATGATCTTTTCTTAATTTACTTCGGTATTCAAATTTTAAACATTTTGGAATTTTGGAATTTTTTTTACAGCATGTTTATGAATGTAATTGATTTGCAATGTGTATGCACGCACACTTGACAGAGGGAGAGAGACTGAGATAAAAAAAAAACACCCAAAAGACAGAGACAGAGAGAGGTGCTTCTTCTCTGGTTCTGTTATCACAGTTATGCAACTTTTTAAAAATATAGCTGTTCTTCTATAGCCTAAATAGTTTGATTAATATAGATAGGCATTAACAATTCTCTAAAGATTAAAGAAACCTCAACTATGAAATCATAGTGCAATTTTAGTGGTCAATTTTAACAATCACTTTATTTTCTTCTATCATCTGTTCAGGTTTCTAACTCTTTTAGGGTCAAATTTAGGAAGTTACTATTTGCTAGAATCAGTGTATATGTTGTTCTGTATAATGCCACTTTTCATTTAATACTTCCTCTAATTATTTTTAATGTTGGTAAAATACTTATAAAGATCATTTGCAAATGAATGCTATTAGGAGATCAGACATGTATAATAATGTAGCTATCTTTCTATTGGTGGACATTTATAGCCATCTATAATATTCCAAGACTATAAACAAAGTCATCATGATAGATTCCTTATGATAGATTCATGGAAGGAAAATTCCTGGTCAAAGGACACCAATACTTTAAAGCTCTGTAGATGTACAAAGGCATATATGCAACAGTGGTATCAGCAGCAATGTAATTCATTACTTCTACATCCCATGTCATTGTCCTTACACGGGCCACGCTACTTTAGTCTTTCTGATCCTATTAAAAACAAAAGTCAGATCATGTTACTCCTGGGCTCATAACCCTTCAATGGCGTCCAACCTTCTTTTAATACAAGCGAAAACCCTAATGGCTCACAAGGTTTCACTTATTTGCTCTGTGATTTCTATGACTTCATCTCATATTTCTTTCTCATCTCTGAACACCCTCGACTCCTGGCTGTTTCTCATTGTGACAGTGATCCTCATGCCTCAGGGTCTATGAAATGAATCTTCCCTCCATCAGAAATATTCTTCCTTGGGTTAACCCGGGATATAGTAGTTAAATCCCTCCCTCCCTCATTTCACACAGGCCGTTATTTATAGGTCATTTTCTCAATGAGTCCTTTACTCATCATCCTTCTCCTACCTCAGCAATATTCTCTACTTCCATTCCCAACATTATTTTTCTCTGTAGTACTTTTCATAACATATGATGTATTTGAATATTTATTAATGTTTACCGCTTGTATCCCTTAACAGATTATAAGCTCCCACAAGAACCTGGGGATTAATGTGTCCCCAGGTTTATAAACATGCCTCGCACACAATATTTATGCTCTCAAATAAATGTCTGTGAAATAAATGAATAAAATGAATGGATTTGTAGAATCAATAAAACATGTCTTGACAGAAATATTTAGAGAAAATTTAAGTTTCAGTATACATATATTTTTTTTAAAAAAATAGAACTTTAGAGTACTTACCCTTTCCAGGGTGAAAGTCCTAACTACATATTCAGCAAGTGGTTCCATTTCTACACAAGTTACTTTGAAGTCACCATAAACTTCAGTATCATCAGGCCAATACTTATAGCACTTAACCTAAATGACAAAAAGATGATATAGGTGAACCTGAATACCTAATACATGAGCCAAGATCATTTAATTTCAGTGGTTACTCTTCACCTAACAGTTAATATACAGCTTTAAAAAAATCTATAAATGAGACAAGAATGTTCCACATTAAATAGACTTTATGCAATCTCATAAAAATATACAAGCCTAATAATGCAATTAGGTTTTAGGATATAATCGAAGCTTATTTTATTACTAATGGAGAAATCCAGTAATTTCTCAGCCATCAAAGGTTTGCTTAGGGGAGCACTAATTTGATATGCTATGCCTGTAATTTTTTAAGAAATCAAATGATAGTATATGTTAAATTTATTATGTTTTGCTATTCAAGTTATACTCATGTTTTATGACACACAAAAAAACACACACACCACAAAAAAATATATATATTTTTCTTACCCGGCCAACCTCAACTAAATTTGTAACCATCACAATGCAGGCAGACTGTTCTTGCCAGATCATTCTCCAGAAATCATACACTGTTTCATGAACTGGGCCTATTAAAAAATTAATTTGAATATTACGTTATCAGAGAAATTTTGTAATCAATAATAAATTTAGAAGAAAATGTCACTGAAAGTATTTAAAATTCAGTTCCCATCTACAATCATGCTACAGGCAAAAACACAGGCCTATACAAGTTTGGTTTTAGATTTGCTTTCTATAATTTCCATCACTCGTTCCTAGGATATTGATATCCAAGTTACTTCAATGCATCTTCAAATATCTGCAAAAACAGGATTATGCCACTATCAACCAAACAGTACATATGACCAATTACATATATACACATCATTTATACACATTGCGTATTTGCGGTTAATGAAGAAACTTCATACATAGAGTATCATCTGCAAACTGTGAAAGCTCCTACTGGGTTCTACTCATTACCATGAAACTAGAATAATGTTCACCACAAATGAGTTTTCTAACTTTAAAAGGTTTATATCTAATTAAACTGAATTACTCCAACATATGTGAAAGCAATTAAAAAATTTACCCTCTGGCAAAGAGCAATGTAACTTTTGTTTTACTTTTCTCTTTTATACAATAGATGTGCAAGTTTCTCTCCTCATGACCAGTGCTCAATTTGGAGAGACTGAAGGTGTTTTTGTTTTTGATGTTAGAATACTTTTACTCTCCAATGTGCCACTGTAACAAGTTTTTTTCTATTTTTTCCTTACTTTCCACAAAGAATAAACTTGACAAAGTTCCCCTTAGCCCTTTGTTTTGTCTCAGTCTTAACTTGTAAAAAACAAAACAAAACAAAACAAAACAAAACAAAACAAAAACAACTGCTGGAAGGTAGTCTAAAATCTCATTATAAAAATATTGGTCTTGGGTACTATTACATTCCAGGCTGACAGGCTGCTACAAGAAAATGGGCACCTTAAATGAGATGAGACTTCCCTTGCTTTCATCAAAAGTAAGAAATTCCTCTACCCAGCACTACTGACTAGAGCTCTAGGACATCAGGATACCAAGAACCAAACCACAAAAACTACCAACAGCTTTTCTTTTACTTGCAATAAAAAATAAATCAAAGTTTATATATGTTTTATACAGATAAAACAACTTGTATTATACAAATGAATAAAAAGCAGTGTTATTCAGAAGGAATGTTGTTGTCTTTCTCTTCAGCCATTATAGGTTAAATTGCAAAAATACCATATGGATGAATAAGCAAGTTTGTTTTTTGTATAACACTTAAAGAGGCAAAGTGTTACCTTGAGTTGCAATGTAGTGGCTTGGTCTCTGGTAGCCCTAAAATAGGAGAACAAATTGGTCATAATTTTACATCAATACCAGGATTAAAAGAATGAAGGCATAAAACGATGAAGACAACCACCTGTTAAGATTAAGTTATAGTAAAAAGTCCAGAAATGAGTAGTGAACTCATAGTTCACTTCTCAAACCTAGGTTATCTGAAAGGTAAGATTAAAAAATAAATATTTTAAGGGCTCTGATTAGAATATATATTGCATAATTGAGATTTGTTGGCTAGGGAATAACATCAGAGATTTTGTTTGGTTTCACTAAAATGTTTATGCCTTCATGTTAAGCTTTAATCATTCATTCCTGGAAAAACTGTGTTCAAAAATACCAATTCTCATTTTATCATCCAAAGGTACAACACACTGCATTACAAATGGACAACGACATATTAGAACCATAAAAAAATAAGAGAACATTCCAATGTTAGAGCTGGACAATGCATGTGTGCATCAAATCAAAATCCTGCTGAGATTTCATACAGAATATTCCTACTCTATAATATATTCATGAATCTGCCAAAACCATTTATGTGTGCTGATAATAATTTACTTACACATAATTATAGTTACACACACATACAGAGAAAAGGAAGAGTTTTAAAGTATACTTGTCTTGAACAATAAAGTTCAGTATTTTCTTCTCTTTTTTTTAATATGCCAAGAACTCTGTGTGGTTAAATATTTAATATTGTTTCAATAAAGAAATTATTCCTGAGAAGGAATAGTTTGGTAGTTATTATTAATTAGTTTAAATTCCAATAGACCCCGAGTAGCAAATATGTTAATGGTATAATAGGTTAACCTTTGAATTTGTTGTGTATTTACCAGAGTGCTTTAGTAAAAAGCCTGTGGTACAATTTATCCACATTTTGGTGTGGATGACTCAATACAGATATAAATGCATATAAATGAAGATATCCTATCTAAAACTTAATAGGTTGAGCATTATACTGTTGCAAAATTGGAAGTTATTATTCCTTAATATACCCACATAGCACAGCATTTTATGAAAAATTTGTTTCAATCTTTATAAGCATTTTATCTCCTGCTTTTATGAAAAATTTACCAATTGCAGGAGACATCTTTTAAGCATAACAAATTAATAGAAGAGGGAAAATTATGATATTGTATAATGATTAGCCAAAATATACTGGGGTCTTAACAAAAATATTAGATTAAAAATAGTCTTAGAACACACTTTTTACATATGAACCATAAATTAGCATTATACCAAGGCTCCAGTGTATATGCCTTGGTAGAAAACCAAGGTTAAGTTATATAGGTAAAAAGAAGTACAAATTTGTCAGAGAAATGTTAATTTTTTAAAATTTTAATGAGTAGATCAAAAGCTTAGTTTCCCATGTTAAGATGTCTAATACATTTAAAATATTGAATGAGAATCAAAATTTAATGAATATATTGAGACTACAATTTATAAAATTTATTAGTTAAAAATATAAATAATGACATTTCACAAAATAACTATATTTTGAACTGATTAATTTCAGCATACCTAGGTAAATTATTTTTTAAAATAGCTGAAGTTTATTTTAATAAGTACTTCACATGTGCTAAGCATTGTGCTAAGTGCTCAATAAACATTGCTTCATTTAAATCTTACAACAAATAAGATTAGCACTTTCATTACCTTCACTGTTAAGATGAGCAAACTGAGGCTGAGAGATGAAATAGTATTCCCATGGTTTCCAGTGTGATTTTGAACCAGGAAGTATAAGTGAAGGGGCTATTCTTACATGTAATATAATATATTGCCACCTCAACAATATTTTATCTTTTATTAGAAAATTATTTCCCATTGAAGAGAGAATTCACATGTATATATGTTTTTAACTAAAATTTAACAGTGAAATGTATGATTACAACAAACTTTTTTATTTGTATGATTCAATATATATGTGTGATATGTATACTTTACAAATGCAATTTGGTAACTATTTTGCCTAAGTAATTTTAATACTTCGCAATCCAATACCACACACCACACAATAGTCTCCCTACCCATTATTCACATCAGAAGTCAAATGTAAAAAGTAAAAATTTCAGGAACACTAACACATCATACCATCCAGCTTCTCACATGTTTAGGGAAGGGTAAGAATAAAAGCCAGAAACAGAAATCATCAACAAATAAAACTCAGGTACATAATAAATTGTCAAGAGCTCAAAATGGTCCTGTTTTTCCAAACACAGAAAAGGGAAGGAGATAAAACAGACCTTTACACATGTAAAGGGATTACAAAGAAATGAACATAGATATACTGTATGAGCTCATTACGTGAAGCATGCAGAGAGAACGAGTAGTAGTATTAGTAATAACTGTAAGTAAGAGTAGTCACATTAAATATTCATTAAGGATACTGTTATTTACATATAGTGGTACTTACATCCCTGTACAGCCAAATCTACAGCCCAAACCAAAGTCAGGTGTGAAAGAAAGCACAACAACATCAGTAAGTACTAGGACGTGGAACAAGGAAAAAAGTGTACAGTTTGTTCTTTATGCTTAAAAGCTAGCAATCACTTTATAGGTAATGACAAGCAAAAGGATTCACGTCTATACGCTAACAAACTGGGCATACTGAGCTGTAAAAATACTTACATCTATATAGTTGGCATTAATGTAATCTGAAGAAGGGTCATCCTCGACAGGTTGCAAAATTACTCTGGAGTGATCGTCTAAAATTTGTAAATAATAAAATAAAAGCTATGAAATATTCCCCTGGTCTTGAGACAATGCCACTGGCAGATACTTGGAATAATTTTCAATGGTTGATAAGAGCTTACCCATAATATAGTATCTACATTTCCTTAAACACCAGTCATTTGAAGAAATCCAAGAACTTTAATGATCTTATTACTTATCAGGGTTATAACATTCTGTTAATAAAGCTTTTAGTGACTAACATCTTCATAATTAGGACGCTTTTAGGGGACATGATAATTAATGTACAATGAATAGTCATTTGAGTCATGGGCTTGTCTAAGGAACTAAATTTGCCTTCATTCCTAATTTTGCTTCCTAGGCATGATTTTAAATGGGCTGGGTTCTTCTGTCTGCACTTTACAGCAAATGAGCCACAGAAATAAGGAGTGAATTTTGAACTCTGCTCTCAACTTCCTATTTCTTGAGAGTCAAGATTAAATTCTGATGCATTCATAAGCATCTTTAAAATAGTTTTCATTGATAGTAGAGTGGTCAAAGTAAATAAATAGTTACATGAAAAATTATGTTAACTTTTCTCATTGCTGCTGATGTTTCACATGATAATTAACTTATTTATCCATGTACACACATTGCAGATTGGAGGAGGAGGAAGTCCCTAATGATAAATAAAAGGGAGCAATTGGAATTCTTACAGGCTCCAAGGAAGGAATAAAGGTATGTAGAAAGAAGACCACTCCCACCTTGAATAAGTTAAGAGGTATAGCAGTAATTTATCACTGAAAAGACCTTTCTTTTCAGCGTTAATATTCTCAGTTATTTCATAACATCCCATGCATTTGTGTGCAAACATAAAATCACATAGAACTATATCCACAGTGTGAAGAGTGTGAAACAATTAATGAGGATGATGACAATTTCAGAGTTACTGCCAATAGCCAATGCTGTTTGAATATTAAGTAGATTGCTTTATCAACAGATGTGTCAGGCCCTGGGATTCTCTTAAAATTTAAAACCACATAAAGAGGAGTTGCAACTTACTATTTACCTTCTACCCACAACATTTACCTTCACCAGGAATTCTAGGAGGACTTACATGCTATGATGTTTCCATATCGGTTTTTTGCTCTATTTTGGTCTTTTTTTGCTACATCCCAAGATGCTGACTGTCCTTCAAAGAAGCTCTAGAAGAAAAAAAAATTGACAAGCAGACCGAATTTAATTCCTTTTCATGCAGCAAGTTTATCTGTTGTGAGGACCAAAACAGTAATGGCCTCTTTCTCCGGGAGGAAGTCCTACAGTAGTGAACATGTTCCATTTCAGAACAAAGCTTATTTGGACTCCTATACTTGTTCATCTTGGATTGGACTGAGTTCAAATGAAGGACAAGTAACAACTTTAGGGAGGGGACAAGACCTTAAAATTATTTCAAATTTAAGAGTGCTCTCACTTTGTGAGAAGGAGGTAGAGAAAGCATCAAAAACTTCAAAACTACTTTTAATGAGTTATATTTCAAGTGTGCTTCCTTTAGCATTTATAACAGGAACAAAAACACACTTGTTTTCCCCTCAATTATTTATTAAATCATGTGCAATACACCACATTTCAGTTTCTTTGAAGATCATGAAAAGAACTGAGTCTCTACCAGAGACCATATGAAAATTAAAAAAGTCACCATCTCCAAGAATTTTGAACAGATGAGTTTGTTGATTGGTTTAATTGCCATATGTAGCAATTTAAAATATGGGTAGAGATTTCCTTTTTGCAGAAAAGCTTTAACTTTGCTCAAACAGGAAATGGGGTCTTCAAAGAGTCAACGGTCTTTGAAGTGAGGTACACAGGAATACAAGGAAATGAACAGAAAGAACCAGTGCTGGCAGCATGTTATAATTCCTTGCCCTATTCGTTACCACAGCATAGTGTTTCCGGCATACATCTAAAACCAACTTTTGAAATTCAAAGATAATTGTATTCACTCCCAAACTAAGTCATGCAAGTAATCTATAAATATAATGTAGTGTTTAGAGAATTCTTCATGAAGTTGAATGCATTTTGAATGTAAAGAAAATTAGTGCTTGAATTCTTTCACTGTAAATGTGCATGTATGGTGGTACACGTATGGTGGTGCACATACGGTGGTGCACGTGTGGTAGTGCACATATGGTGGCACATGTGTGGTGGTATATGGACGGTGGTGTATGTATGGTGATGCATGTATGGTGGTACATGTATGGTGGTGCATGTATGGTGATGCACGTGTGGTGGTGTGTGTATGGTGGTGGAAGATCTTCCTTCTCCACATCATACTGATATTTCTCAGTAGACAAAGGTGGCAAAGGAACTGTCTACTTTTTGCTATGTATTGTAATGACTAATTTAAATCACTTCTCTTGCAGTTTAATTATTGGTATTTTTGTTTGAGTTGGAAAGGGAAACGAGGAAGAATTTCTCATATCCTTCTTTTGGCTTCTGAACATTTGGATTTGTAGTGCTCTGTTTTTTCCTCTCAGCAACGCTCCACAATAATGCTTAAAACAAAACTAAGAATGACAAGTAGTACATTTAGAACACAAAGCTTTATCCCACTTCTCAACAGAGGGTCAAGAAACAAAAAGGCAGAGAGGTACCTACTGACTAAGTCATTGAATGACAGAACCTGTAATGGTACACTGGAACCCAAGGTATCTTGCTACACACTTGATTTTTCATGCAAACACAGGATTAGTGCCTAGAGAGTATTCGACTCTGTGTTATGTTAAGGGGAGGGAATTTGTGAAGTTCCCCTGAGTATAATAGTTAGAAATAACATTTAACATAATACAGAAACTTTCACCTCATATTCCTCTTTGAACCCATAGCTGTCTGATGTCTTCATGAGATTAATGTGCTGCAGTAAATCGGCCACCCTGATGGCTGGGTGCAGCTGTCCCGTCTGGTAAGGGGATTCTGTCCCCTCACAGAGGTAGCGAGGTACATCCAGAAGGCGACTGGACTCTGCTGTAGCACTGTGGTTCTCATCTGGCATTTTTCAGATTCAAGAACATTAAAAAGAAGACAAAGTTATCTTGTTTAATATATATCAATGCACAGATTTTTTAAGATCTCAAGATCTTTCTGGTAACAGGAGGAAAGGAAAGAAATAGAGTAGAGGCCTAGGGCAGATAAAGCCTTTCACGTCAGCTCAAGGTACGAGGTCAGAGTACACATGTTTATTTCAACAGGGCAAACGGTGCTTTGAGGCGTAGAGAGACATCTAGTCCACCTTTAAAAAGCATAGTGGGAGATTTTGCTGGGTTCTCACTTTTCTCTGTATCTGCAATCATAATCATAGCAGTATTGAGTGGGATCAGAAAATCAAGTCAACTGGAGAGGTGTTTTCATTGTTGATTAAAACAAACAGTCTCCTTCTCAGCCATAAGTCAACCTCCCTGTAGACAACCCACGTGGCTGCTCTTCTTGCCCTTTTGGCCTTACTATGCCCAACCACTTGGGGCGTCTCCCCATGGCACTCCAGACTGGAAAACAAGGCATTCTACAGAATCATCCCTGGACCCTTTATGTCGGCCAGCCAGGTCCCATGTGCATTTATACTCAATCTCTACCCACTTGGTTTATTATTATTGTTGTTGTTGCTTCTATTGCTAATATATTTGGACTCTTCTGGCTACTGTAGGAAAGAAACCAGCATATGTCTCTGGGCAAAATATGTAGTAGGCACTTCCTCTGAAATTCTTCCATGGACCATCCAGGCTGGGCTCCACAGCTCCTGCTTTACATTCTCATGGCCTCTTTTTCTACATTCATGTATTTTATCTTTTAATAATTTGTTTACTGGTGTTTTTCTTCACTAAACTCTAAACACTTATAGGTTAGACACAGAGTCATTTTTTAAAACATATTCCTAGTGCCTGGTGTAAAGCAGCCAATAAACATTTCAATGATTGAGTTCGTTAAAACCAGTTGAATCCCTTACCACCCACAGTTAAGTGTAGGCCCCATCCCAATTGTGTTATTAGCTTAAAATGAAAAGAAACTTTAAGCATCTTTCTGTCATAACAAGGAAGAAAAAAAACAAGAACATTTTACCTATGAAGAATAATTATTATTTTAATGACCACAGTTCTAATCATTACAATGAGAAAAAGCATGCTTATATGTATCACATGTAAACTTACCACTTAAAAAAATGTTTTAAGGGGTGTTACTTTGAAAAGCATTAGACTGCCATGCTCATTAACAGAAGAGAAAGTACACTCTTAGGGGAACTTTTGTTTTTAATGGTAATGCATACTGTAGAGAACAATATTTAATTAAACAGTGAAACATATTTCAAATGCTGGTACATTTGCCTGTTCTATCACCAACTCTACAAATAGGATATGGCAAAAAATGAATTGTTGTCCCCATGATAAACATTTTTTCTTCCTGGAGAAGGGAAAAACAAAACAAAAGAACCCCACAATCAGATTTGTATGCTTCTATAATTTAGCTTGATTGCATTTACTTTACTTTTGCTTATCAGGCTGAAGGCGTTTTTTTTATTTCTCATTTACTTCTAAAACACCACAATGCATCAAAAACACCCCTGCTGGATTCTCTTGTGACCTAACCACCCAACTGAATTAATGCCCTTTATTTAGGTTTTGCCCACCCCTCTAGACACAAACATTTTATAGCAAACATAATTCATGAGATTTTCTTCTTCCTACGTGCATAACCTCATCTGATCTATCTTTGCTAAAATATTGCAATTGATAGACTGACAGAGAGAACATATACATCTCTCCAGTAAAGTTAATCAAAAGCTACTGATCTGGGCGCTATTGAGCTCAGGAGGAGACAAGGACAGATAATGTCAGTGAGGCGGAATGCAATCACCTAAGCTGCTCTGTGGGCAGCCCCAGCGCTCACATCAGACCTGCTGGAGCAGCAGAACACTGACACTGTAAAAGGCTCAGTGAGAAACACAGAATTCACCCACATCCTAAATCTTCCGTAATTATGTTCCAGTATGAAATGCCTTTTGTTTTGCATTAAGCTTTAATACAGTAGTACAATGAGCAGCATTCTTTAAAATAATCACATATGAATTATTAATCTCCAAACATTTCCGCCTCATTAAACCACCTCATAATGTGACTAGTAGTGAGAGTACATGTACTAATCATTATCCTTATTACACATTTAAGAATAATAACTTCAAGTATTTCTTTGATGGAAAGGTTTTCTAGAATTCTTTGCAATACACTTACCAGTTATAGGGACTTTAACCCAAAGAAGCAGTGAAACACAAAAAAACAAATATATGAATTAATACGAAAAGTTTCTAAGCTCTTTTAAAATCAGCAAGTAGATATTAAGATCAATCCATTTGAAATGATTTCAAAATTGCTTTGTAAACACAAAATCTATTGGATGCAAAACAACTGTAAACATCATGACTCCATGAATGATGAAAAACGCAACAAGTCATTTTTACATCTGATACTATTAATGGGAGTTAGCTTTTAAACAACAAATATATATATATATTTTTTTAAATTAAACAGCCCAACTTTCAAAACGAAATAAAAAGCATAACGGCTGTTTATATGAACGGGTTTGATGACTCTATTGTGTTAACTCTAGCCTTCCTTAAACATAAATATCCCTTTTCACAGGGAAAGCTATTACAATAACCTTTTAAGCTGTATAGTTTGTAAAAACCCCCATATATTACCTCATTTTCTCTTTTAGAAAACTATGAAAAAGGTACTGTGGGAATTATTACCTCTTTTACAGATGGGGAAGCAAAGATGAAAGGTACAGTATTTCCATGAGTTTCTATTATGAGTCCATAGGAGGACTGAGAGTTCAACCCAAATATAAATGTCCTTAAAATATTACTGTAATCACTTTTTAACATTTAGGCAGCTGAATTTTTTCCAGTGAGTTGTTAATATTTTAATTGAATTTTACTTATTAATTTGATGTTGACAGCCTTCTAAAGTGCTCAACAATGATGACATTTTCAAAGGCACTTGGTACCTTCACAATGATCAAGATTCCTGACTTCTCACTGATGGTGAGGTTACCCCTTGGGGCAAATTCCTCAGTTCACTTCCCTGCCATTATTGGTGTGGACATTCAAGGGAGAGTGCAATCAGCAACAGAGAACATTGGCTAACAGATTCTTTTATGATATATATTCTTTATATTCCAAAATTATAACTTAAAATATTTTAGTGAAAAAGAGGTGTATTTTACTTAACTGAATTAGTGGAACGGTTCCAAAATATTTTGGAAAGGTAACCAACTGTTGAATATATGCATAATAAAACATGCATCAAATGTAAGCTAAAGTTTTATGTTCACAAGAAATTTAAATATAGAATATGAAAACTGGTAATGTTTAAGACACATTTTTCTGGTAATTTCTACATTTCTCTGGGTAAATCTTAAATATTAGAAACACTGGGTTAACAATGATATATAACTTGTGAACATTATAAGCAAGATGGCCATGAATCATTGGTGTGAAATCAGTCAAGGAATAGAGTACAAGTTGAAATGAAACTCATTCTATTCTTAAATCTGTAATTAAATTAAAAATTAATGTAATTTTACATCTGAAAAGGACTTATTTATCACCCATAAGACCAGTTGTCTTAGATGTTATATAGTAACTATAAAATTAGGAGGATTTGGAAAATCCCTTCCCATCAGATACATTTTTACATATGAAGAAATTACTCATGTAGCACTGTTCCCTGTGCATTTTGGTTCATTCTACTAACCTGCTTAAATAAACATAATCTTATATTAGGTGCCATTGTACTTTTGCTGCAAATCTAATGGAACCCAAAATTAGCAAATACGTTGCTTTAGAATAGTACACCTTACTAATCTGAAATCCACTAGATCTGACTGGACTTACCACAGTTGTTCTCTTTGATAAGATGATGACTATATATTTTAAATCAAGTTGCTTTCTGCACTGTGAACAATTACTCTGTTGACAAAGTTATAACCCATGCAAAGAGGTGTGATCCATGCAAAAATGATGATAAAGAATTAGGGCCTCACCTAACACAGCGGTCGGCACAAGTGGATCATTGGGCACTGTATAGGAAAACAAAGCTCATGAAGGAACATATTGCCCTAAAGTTGTTCCCTTTAAAATAGAGTTATGTTTTCTTAAGAAATATCGTTATTAAATTTTCTTTGGTTACTATAACCTGCAAAAGTAAAATTCTCTTTCAGTTTGGGTTATTGCAAAACACCAAGAGAGAAAGGTGCATCTATAATTATAGTTCAATACTCAGTTTAATTTAAAAAGCAAGGAATATTCAATTTGACATTATAAAGTTTCTAAAATTAGGGGGAATCCCATGTATTTTAGATCTAGCAAGTGCAAGTTACTTTGAGAAACAATTATCTCATATTAATTCCAAGTATTTTTTTTTTTTTTTAGTTAACTCTGGGAAATATATTTAATCATTTCTCCAAGTTCATAGGTGGGTATTTATAGTTACACTGTTGAATTCAACCTTCCTAATAAGATAGGCAAAAGATAGAAAAGTTGGGGGAACAAAGATGTTTTCAAATCCTTAATGGGTTAACTATTAAATCAAATTGTTAGAGAGATGGTACATCTATATTTTCTGGAAAATTTACTTACAACAATATTTTATGTTATTCTCTGTCAATTATCTTATAGTGAAATAAAGATAAAGTAGATTAAAAAGGCCCTATATTGATTAAAATTAAATTCCAAAATGACTATAGCATTTCTAACTTGTTTGGTTAGATACGTATCAAGGAAAATGATGGGCTGCATTTAGGGCTAATAATGTCTGAAAATTTTCACCAACTTGAACATTACAGAAAAAAAACCCTTCCCTTTCTGAAAAGACCTACATACATACAACCTACAAACACTTAATTTTCTCTATATTACTACAACATATGCTTATAATATGTATAAGAAATAATAGTTTTATTGTCTATTCTTTCCTTATACACATGTTTTTCAAATGGAGGTAAGCAAAACTCTGGGATCTGTGGACGAATGCGCCTGCATATGCAAGACCTAGGATAAACATGATTTGCCTTCCTCATGCATCAACTTACTTGAGGATTTAAAGAAACAGTTAGATAATTTAACTTAATTTTAAGTAACAAACAGCGCTATAGAAAGAAAAATATATAAAATTCATTGGAAATTTGAAGATAAACTAATATTAATTGTGAGGCAATTATTCAAATCATTTGCCATTAAATAGCACTTCAGTGGAAATATATCTTAAAAGTCCTGCCTTCATAGATCAACATTAGGAATTCTTAATATGGATGGAGGGGTGGCTAAGGTGGTAGATGGATGAACAGCTGAATTGCTGGATGGATTTTACCATTTCCTGCCAAAGCCCCTATTCAAGTAAACTTTTGAACTTCACACCAGATACTGAAAAGCATGTAGATTCCTCTTTCCATATATATATACACACACACACACACACACACACACACACACTTTATTAATTTCAGAGAGGAAGGAAGAAGCAGAGAGAGATAGAAACATCAATGATGAGAGAGAATCATCAATCGGCTTTCTCCTGCACATCCTCCCACCAGGATCAAGCCTACAACTCAGGCATGTGCCCTGACTGAGAATCAAACCATGACCTCCTGGTTCATGGGTTGATCCCAACCACTGAGGCACACCAGCTGGGCTCAATTAACTTTTTGTTACTAAAATTTCCCAGGAGTATATAGAATATTTTAATAGAATAATTTTATCAATGCAAATAATCTGCAGGAAGAATATGATGTTTCTTATCTCACAAACAATTTATCTTGCACAAAGGAAGACAAATGGAAAAATAACTATAAATCTGACATAAACTCATTTTATATAGGCAATCAAGTATATTAAAGCAATGACAAATGATTTGGTCTGAGTAGTATATATGAATATATATTATAATGATATAGCAATGAAATTCATGCAGTTTGACATTAAAGTGAATCTACTATCAAGATTGAAAATAAGTTCTTATGAATTCCATAATATTCTCTATCGCTTTTTTCTCTTTCTAGCTGTTTCTTCCATTTCTTTTCCTTATTTTCTCTCACTATTCAAAAGACAATGTGTTGACTGCAGAGTTCACTAAACAGCTTCAAAAATAATTTATGAAAATTTTAATGTTGACCGCAGAGTGCACTAAAAAACAGCTTTAAAAATCATTTGTGAAAAATTTAAAGAACTTACATCTTGGACTAAAATTATGTTGGTCCATGAAGGTGATGGAGAGAGGATCTTCGGCGTGCAGAGTGCTCTGATCCGCATAGCTTCGGTCCATAGCATTCACCATGTGAGTCATCTCCTGCCGGGTGTTCCCCAGAGCATCCTTGCGCTTTTTGGCGAGTTTGCTGCCAAGGCAAATACAAAAAGGAAACCTTAGTGTGAAGCTTGAAGGAGAGCTGACACCAGCAGTATGTAGTTCAGGAAAGCCCAACGATAAGGATATAGATGTGGTTTAGAAATAATTTAGGTCATAATTTCGGGAATTAAGTTCCACACTCAAACAATATATTTTGGTTGCTATGAAACTAGTTTATTTGTCATTTGAGTGTTTCAACATTCAAGCTGCCAACCCAAACCTCTTATTTCTTATATTTTATCACTAAAATAAAGTATTATAAAATATAACTACACTTTATAACAACCATATGTGAATACTTCCTTATTAGAGCTAGTCAAGAAAAATTTAAGCTGAAGCTAAATTTTGGTTTTCCTCCTGGGTGATTAATTCTTTTGTCAACTGTTAGAAGTTCTTCTGAGGAATAACATGACTACTTTTTAAAGTTTATTTTGCTATACTCATCCAATTAAAATAAACAAAGCAATCCCATTCTTCATTTTCTGTTTTATTATTCAGTAAAATGCAACATGTGTAGCATTAACATATATTTACCAATTTATTTATAACATTAACCCATAACTAAACTGGAGACTTATAAAATCAACCACAGCTAAATATAATGCAAATATACAGGAAAATTTGAAAAAGTTATATACTATATGAAAAAGTAGATGCATTACACAAATGATTATAATCTTGAACTATAGACATGGTCAAATCCTAAAAGCTTGTTTTAGAATCACATGGCAGAGTATCCACTAAAGAAATGCCTTATAAAGTCAGTGGGACAAATGACTTAGGGGACTTGGAAAATAGAAGAGTTAGACTTTTCAGCTACTTGAATACTGAAATCTTTATCTTAATATCAAATATATGAAATACCTTATGATTCTTTGTGACCATTACACATGAAACATGTAATAAAAACATTAAGGGTATACAAAACGTTTACATCACATTAACGTGGCGATTTAGATGATATAAATAAAGGCACTCTAAAAGCCTGTAGTAGGCAGATTATGTTTCTAAATTTATGGCAGCAGTTTATGTCGCCTCTGAAATATTCTTTAGTTGTTTTAAGAATACCATTTCTCAGCTAGATTATTAGCTAGGATATATTCTTCCGATTCCCATTAGTATCTTTACTAGAGAAAATATGCTACCAACACTTTATTTAAAGGCTCATATAATAGTTGTATTTATGCCCCCAAGAGTTTCCTTTCAAAATTCAATCTAGCAATTCAAGAGCTACTCCTGAATAGATTACTCTCCCCCACCCCCCGAAAATTATAATACTTAACCTCAGGGAGTTTTTACCCAACATACCCAACATATGAACACAGCAGATCTGACACCTAAATAAGACAGTCGGAAACTAAGCTTTTGGGATTGAAGGAGCACTTTTTAAAATAAATTATAATAATAATGATAATGACAGTACTAGTAGTAAGAAAACAATGGCGAAAGTATAATAAGAACTAGCACCACCACCAACAGCATTATTACCACTAACTACACCTTCACAACCACTACCACCACCACCATCGCCACCACCACCATTATTAGCAATATTTGCTCTATTCATTGAAAAGTCATTATCTCTTTTTTTCTAGGTGAGGCAGTAAAATCCCCATAACAGCCTTACAGGTTTCAGACAGGGACTGTGAATGAGTGCTGCTGCAGTGGGAAGACAATGTCCTGAAGTGTGGGGACTGTGGAGACCTGGAGAGCAGCTTAGGGGCAACTTATCTAGGTGACTACTGGCATCTGATCCCAGTGTTAAGCTTCTGATTTTTAAATTACATTTAAGGAGAAGTAATGAATCTGAACATTCATATTAAATTTCCTGACTTTTTCAAGTGCTTTTATTGTTTGAAACAGTGTATGAAGCAAATTAAACATTAGCAGATCGTATTTTGATCTATAGACGTCACTTTCCAAACTTACCTCTTTGATGTTATGTTATTTGTTCATTGACCTACAAGGTTCTTTTACCTCTAATTTCTGGTTAACTTGCATTGTGTCTCACCTCAACAGGCAGGCTTCTCTGACTAATTCCAACAACCTGTTTCAGATTAGGTTTCCGTGCTGGGTGAGTTTCTAGCACCACGTTTTCTGCCTCTAATAACACTCATCACATATCATTGCAAGGGTCCTATTAATTCTTTCCCTCACTGTGTGTTCCACAAAGGGGAGAACCATCTGTATATTCCTAGCACTTAGAGCAGTGTCTGGCACATAGCAAGCACTCAAATAAAATGCTTGTTGAATGAATGAATAGGCCTGTGATATGCTTCACACTTTTCATTTGCTAATTCCGTTAATTCTCAGATCAACCTACTGAAAAAGGCATGAGAGTTCTAACTGTAAAGATGAGCTTATTGAGGCTCAGATAAGTTAAATAACTTGCCCAAGGTTATTTATCTAATAAGCAGTGAAAAATGACCTGGCTTCAAGGCCTATACTCTTAACTATCTCCAGTTGCTAACATCACTAAATGACCCATTACAAGTGTACTATAATGTAAGGCATCGACTTACTCTAGGAGTGAAACATTAATTGTTACAATGGGAATGCAGCACAAATGTTTTGCCATTTAAAACTTTTGAAACAGAAAAAAAAAGAGATAGTTTAAAATATAACTTCCAGTCTTTGCCAGGCAAGGAGAAATAATAAATTCGTTCCTCCAAAAATTTAAGAGATTGAATTGAATAAATATAACACAATGTGGAATATGGATTAAAAAGTGAAACTTTTGAGGATGGGCAGTTCAAAGCAAATAGAAAAGGCATGTTTGGGCTTTGAGGCTTTACTTTAAAATGTATATGTTTCATGATTAAGAAAAATATTAAGCAATGAATTTGTCAAATTCATGGCAGGTAAAAGTTTTCATAGCTATGAAGGATCTTTACTTTTCAGAGTCACAAAACTTTGTTAGTTGTCAAATTACAGGGGACTATAACCTTTGTTAGTATCTGCCAACCAAGCATTACCAGTTTGGTTCTACTACCTTAATTCTTACAATAACCCTATGAGGTAGGCTTTAATTCAGGTTCTTACAAACAAATAAAAACATCACAGTTACGTGTTTTGATCAAGAACTGAGCGTTCCTATGATGATGTCAATGCATGTTAGCTCAAAGGTTGCATCTGATTAACTTTTAAATTCCCATCAATTTATTTCTACTTTTATTTTTAAAAATCTTTAAAATTTTAAAGATTAGCTCCACGAGTTACATCTGAGCAGCTTTTAAAGGCATATCTCTGTGACATTCTTTCTAATTATGATTAATAACGCCAATAGCCACAAATATTACAATAACAGCATCATAACCTACTACCAAGTCTAGGATCCTGGGATATTATCCATCCACTAAAAAGACAATCCCATTCTAACACTATCAATGTATAGATAGTTAAGGGGAAGCTTATTGGCATTCTCATAATTAAATACTTATTGATTTCTGTATGCTTGATGCTCTGTCTCCACTGAGGAACAAGTATATATAATGTGCACTTCAGGGCAGTTAAACCATTCTGAAACTACTTGAGTTTGACAGATGTGCAAACGACTTTCATCATCAAAGCATTCAACAGCATACATATCCGCAGGTGGATATATGGGTGGGCTATAACGAGGAAAAGTGCTCCATCATTGTATGAAATGGTACAGTTAATTACCTTTGGCTTCATCCAACATGATTTAACAAGGATATTATGACCCATCAGAATAAGCTAGGAGCATTGTTAGTTTTCACCTGCTTGGGTAGCAGATTTTTTAATAATATTTTAAACAAAATTCTGTTATAGTCATTGAGACTCAACAAATTTTGTTGTTAAGCTAGATTAAATTTACCTAATGAAATAAATAGTGGGGGATACGTGCCCTCAAACATGCGTAATCACAGTCCTTAAGTCTAAAAGGTGGTGGATCAAATAGTGAACAAGCAATGTCCAGGAACACTTGGTTGTATTGTTCCTTTGGATTGGCTGTGTATCCTGGCATCTAAAGTAGCAAATTGAAAATGAGTAGAAAAATAGAGTGGCTAATACTCTCCATCCTTATCCAACTATCATTCTATACCTAATTATAGGATGAGCTAAGACTTTGGAAGAGAAAAGGAGATTTGTGACATGTACCTATGTTTTGTGTATTTGGAAGGGGCTTTTCCCCACCTTGGTCTTGTTTTTAAAAAATAATAATCTTACTTATGTTAAAATAAACAATAATGTTTTTTTCTCCAAATTGTTTTCTATTTATTTGTCACTTAAGCATTATGCATTAATCCATTTGTTTTGCAAGGGTATACTGACAGCCTAGACGGGCAGACCAAAGTTGTTCATTTGGAAGTTATAACCCATCATGGATTCCTGGAAATGTGGAGACAGATGTTTTCACTATCAGTCCTGATGTGATTTGCATCCTGGGAAGCCACTTTTGATTGTTCTTCTATGAATCTATCACTTGGGTCATTTTGTTAAATATAACAGTGTTACGTAAAGATAGTGATTCGTGCGTTACAACCACTACCTCTGCCTGATGAGAGAGGTCTCATATTGATAAGGTACAGGTTTGACGTAACTAAATAAATGATGTTTTAGGCTGTAGACTAAAGCTACTTATGGAAAACTGAAAATTTTAAAATAAAGGTAGCTGAACATACAGAAATACAATATCCCTTTTTAAAAAGATTAACAAAGTAAGTTAATAGGTAAACTTTATAGTTTTAGAGTCCAGAAAAACATTTTTTGAAATGTCACCAAAATTGTAAACATCATGTTTTGTTTTGTTTTTTTTTCCAAAAAGGGATACTGCATCTTTAACACACGTAAAGTCGTATATCACCCATTTTCTACTTACAGGTAGTAGGAGTAAGAATAGTAGCTCCTCCTGGCAAGCAAATCACAGACAGTGGAAAAAGAGAAGCAATGGTGAATGAAAAGCGTGACTCCGTCACATTCAATAAAGCAGAAAAATGTGCGTTAAAAATAAAATGAAATAAAATAAAATTCATGTTTTTTTTTGGTTTGCATTTCAATTTGCTCATGCATTGGTTAGATATCTTTTGCCATGCAATTAGACAGATATGCAATAGAAAAATAAAATTTAAAATACATAATTTTGGAAAAAAATAACATGCTGACATTTCTTTTATAGCCAAAAAAATTGAAAGATTAAATGGATTGTGTATCTTCAACATGCAGTTAAGCACATCCTCCATTACCATCTAAATGTCATGAAAGATGGAACAGCTGTTTATAGAACTTGTACACTGAATTGATTATTATTCTTTAGATACAAAATATAAAGATCTATTATGTTAATATAGAATATATGCAGAATGAGACCTAAATTTTTGTAAATAAGTCATTATATCTTAATGGTACACAGGTACATACATATATTAAGTGAATATACGTATGCACCAAACACTATAATATACACAAAATATGTCTACAGTAGATGTATGTGAAGATGATATCATACACAAACATTTACTGTATTGAAACATAATTTCAAATTTATGTTTAGAATTATTAAAGCATCCATGCTGTGCATTTAAAATATAATACATAACCAATGAAGTAATGGCATACATTTGGAAATAATTCAACAGCAATTAAATTAAAAAATGGCATTGCGTTTTGAAAGATGCAATATCCCTTTTCTCAGCCTAAAAACTTACTTTATGTATACCCTTAGCTGTAGAACTTCACTAAAGTGAATTCCAAACCATTTCTTCACACAACCAAAAATACATAGAATGTTTTCAACAAGAGAAGTATACCTATATATATTATTATCCCCAGTGAGGGATAAAATCTTGAGAAACCTAGTCATTTCCCATAAAAATAAAGATTAAAGGCTAAAATAATTTGCCTTTTCATTAATTTTATTATAAATTTGTGCATTATATGGGTACCTATGTTATACACTAAAATGTTTCCCTAAATTTGATACTATCCAATATTATTGTAATATCTATGATTTTGTGTATGTATAATAAACATATTTTTGATTAAATCATACAGGATACATGTGTGACACAAAATTGAGTAAAAGTCGTTACAAAGTTGGATGAGTAAGATATTCAATTAATTTAATTATAATGTTATATATTGGAAGGTAACATATTTAAGTATGTAACTTTGTGTATAAAATTATAACCTTTACTAATCATGGAGGTGATGAGGCAGAAAAATAAAAGCCCTAGCATACTCTCTACCAAAAAGCAATCAATTAAAGTATAACTGTGAAAACTCCAACATTACACATTTTACTTGAGGCCCATTTATCTAACCATTTAAAATATGAACCAGCAAAGAATTTGCTACATTATGCAATTTTAGAGAGTTGTCAGAGCATATACACCCCCCTCCCCCAATCATGCTTTGGGATTGTTTTGGCATACTTTATAAGATTTATGTTTCAAATGTTTTTGTTATTTCTAAAATAGAAGGCCATGAATAAGAAAGACCCTAATAACAAATAAAACTGATTATTTCACCCAATTTTAACTAGGTGAGGACATAATCTGAAGCTATTTTCTTGCTCCCATGTCCAATCTGAAGTGACTGGAATAATTTCAATAGAGGAGCAAAGTTGAATGACTTTCTAAATTTTTTAGTGTAGTTAACCCTCCAAGTATAAATTTACTCTAAGTAGAAACATATGATCTGGAGGTTATATTCAAAAAGTGTATTGATCTTGCCTGGCAAATTTGTATTACTAAAATACTTAAATCTTTCTGACTCAAATATGATGTATTTTCCAACCACATAGGTAGACAACAGCAGAAAGAGAAAGCACTATTGGGGAAAGCACGTATGTAGCTAATTTAACACAAAACACTATAATGCATACCTAATGTTTCTAATGCAGATGTGTCTTCTCCAACATATATATCTCCAGGGAATAATTGTAAAGAGGCAATGCATTAAAATAAACTCTGATGGAATTATTAAACATGTAGTATGAATCATATCTATATTGGTAATGATCTATTTTGAATACAAAATACTAATCATCATAGAATATTATATGACTTAATGTTATCAACATCATTTATTATATTATTTAATATAATTTACAAATTACAAACACTTTTAGATACAACACTATTTTAGGGCTATATTCTGCACGTTAAGATGTGTTTAAGTCCTTCCCAATTGTAGATTTATCTAACACATATGATTGGGAGAACTGGGGATTTGTATAGTTTCTGAGACAATGCCTGACAAATGACACATAAGAAAATGAAAAAAAGTATAAGTTATAAAAACTGCATACTTTGGAAAAACCTCCAGACTAGAGTTCATTTTAAATTCTAGTGGGTCCTAATACCTTCATATGATTCCAGAAGATATTAGTTGATACAGTATAATAGACTAATGATCAATTTTTAAAAACTTGACTTTTCATATTAAAGTGCTCAAATAGTCAGTGAATATTTAATACACAACTTCACAAATAATGTTTATATTCTTCTCATACCTTATTTATAGCCAATATGTACAAAAATAGAGTACAAAATAATTCATAGACCATAACCCAAGCATTATGATAAATCCTGACTTCATTATTCTTAATAACACTAGAAGTACAAGATAAATTAACATCTCAAGTATCTTCGCATTTGATAAATTTTAATTCATACATTAATATCAATGTTAATGTGACAAAAAGTAGATATTTATATCTGAAATTAAACTGCAAATAACCAACACAAATTTATTTTTGAAGTATGAGGAATAGACTCCTGCTGACATGGTTAAAATGCAATTCTTCTAAATTCAATCCTCTAATTTAAGAAGGTCAAGGAAACAAAAAAGTACTTGAAATCTAGTGACATGGATAAGCGAGTGGGACAGAACAAAATGAGGGCTTACCTCTTTTTTACAATCAATACGACAACCAGGAGGAGGAGGATGAACACCAAAATTCCGGCACTAATTCCTGCTATTTTCACCACTCTGTCTGTCTGCTTGGCCGGGTCTGGAATCACTTCTGGTTCTTCTGTTGCTGCTGCTAAATGAACCAAAAAAAATAAGTTACTAAAAACAGCTAATTATCACAGAAAGGAAACTGCACAACTATTCCAAAAAGGTGACTTGTTTCATTTACTTGAATGAAAATAACCTGAAAATATAAATACAGAAGGGTGCTAAACTATACAGCACGAGAGAGTTAGGGTCAAGCTAAGGGGAAAGCTTTCTGAGTAGGGGTTAACAAAAAAAATAAAACAAAATCTAGAGACAACTATCAAAGGGAATAGTGAATGATTTTTCTCCAAATGTCCAAAAGTGAGAAGGGGTCAGATTTAAAGCTGTATTGAGCGAACCCTCTCCACTCCAGTGCAGGGTGCTGGGCTTGGCCCTCTAAGGTAGAGTCGGCGGCACTTGTCTGGGACACAAGTGGTTAAGCTAAACAAGTGCCTCGTGTAACTGCTGGAGGTGTGAGTTTATAATGTGCTGTATAAAATTTGAAATGAATAGTTGGTTTGGGGCACAAAAATAATAAGAAAAGTAAAACAGGCACATCAAGAAATATTTCACATTCTCCTAACAAATAAAACCCAGATAACAAACTTGAAAAACAGAAATCTGAAAAGATAAATCTGTAACAATTTTTTTTTTTTTGTAGAACTTCACTTCCTTTCTGGAAGCCACCACCGTCCCCTATATACACACATATTGAAATTATAATCTTTAATTAATTTATAAGCTCCAGTAAACCTCTGAAGACGTTTTCCTTTTTACCTAATTTACCTATTTTTATGTACATTTTACATATAAAAACTGAGGCTTAGAGAGATGACGATAGATGACCAGGTGCTCAAGAACAGAGAAAAACCTAACATCCATCATCCAAACCAGCCGTCTCGGTGTTCCCATCCAGGGACTCTCCTGATGAGAACGGGTGTGACAAGAGCACAGGGGATTCTGAGGGTTCAGCACATTTGGGAAACTGCCTTAAAGCCCTCATCACAGTGTCAAGGATAATGGTTAAATGAACAAACAAATAAATAAACTTAACCGCACTCACTGCTTTCCAATGAATAATTTTCCAATTCCCCTTTTAAAATAGTCCATTTTTTCTAGAACGCTGTCCTTTCTTTCTTATTTTTTAAAAATATATTTTTTTAAAAAATATATATATATTTATTGATTGAGAGAGAGAGAGAGAGAGAGAGAGAGAGAGAGAGAGAGAGAGAGAGAGATCA